AGCCAGTTAATTAGTCAGTAACTCTTAACGTTATCCATCAACCATCGCATCGATCAGCCAGGATTAGTTTCAGTGAAGTTGGAAACTCAGAAACTCTGCCTGCATTCTGACTAAAGTTAGATCCTATACCCAAAACCATGCTCTGCTGTCGGGGGGAGAATTTCTGTAGATTGAGGAATAAGAGCTAATCCAGTTTGGAGCGCTGTGTCGTATTTAGACACTACAAGTGAATAGGGTGAAATTATTTTATTTAACTGATATTAGCATGAAACCTCCTCAGTTGATTACTTACATTGAGACAATTCGACTGATTTCCTGAAATTCTTTGTTTAAATATGCAGATGAAGCATTATCTAATTGGAATTTTAGGAGAAATCTTCAGACGCAAACAGACAAAGTAGTTAAATTAACAGCTAAATGTGTAGTGACGTTTTTTATGGAAGCAAAACAGACCAAAATCACAAAACTGCCTTAAAATAGCATCACAGCTGTGGGGGTTTGTGTGTGTTTTTACCTTCATTATCAGCCCTGAAAACAAAGATCCTCTGACTTGTCACTATTTCAAATTTATTGTCTTTGGCTGGGCGGGCCATCTGGATGGCAGCCAGTGGGATCACTCCTTTAGGGTAGACATCCTGAAACAGAGCAGGAAACGATTCAGAACCACACAGAATCCAGACCAGAGAAGTTCTTCAGAGCAGGACTTTCTCTGTCCGGCACAATTTATATTTTATAGGTTGTGTGGAAGAAAACAAACGGTCCTGCTGGGTTGGATTTGGGACATTATTGGTGTCGGGGTCTGCCAATGAACAGAGCCTGAGAACATACGAAAGTAAAACCTGACAGCCTGAACATTTCTGACTGAAACAGAGAATGTTTATTATATATATAGGTTTATTATATAAAGATGGTGTGGTCCTCACCCACACTGTTAGATTGGGAGGTGGAAGAGGAGGATGTATATGTTTTACAGGCAGAGAAAAGAGTGATTTTAATATAGAACTTTTATTCATATTAAAGTTGGTTCAGTTTTCACTTTGACCTAATTAAATTAACTTAGTTAATTCTCTCATGTCTTTTGCAGTTGAGAGAAACCTCACTGAAGCAGCAGATACTCAGATAATGAGAAAATTACAATTCTTTGTACCTTCTCACTGCCAAAGTACATCAGGTTTTTGCCATCAAACTTCACGTAGCGCTTCTGGAAAACGTAGTTCCTAAAAAAAATAGATCAAGAGATGTGATCACTTCTAACAAAGACACAAACGGACACAAAGACGCAAAGATACAATGACACAAAGATTCATGTTAACTGTGTTCAATCAGACCAGTGCAGTTTGGTATTTATGTCATATTATATATTATTATATATTTATTTCATGTATCTGTATTGATTTTTATTTGCTCACATTAAAACATCAAAACTCTGACCAAAGAACCGCAGAAGAACTTTAATAATACAGAGAGGTAAGAACAAATGAAGGAAGAAAAGACAAACACACACCGAGTGGAGGATGAAGAAGAAGAGGAGGAGGAGGAGGAAGAAGAGGAGGAAGAGGAGGATAAGAAAGTGACAAGGCAAAGGCAGCTCCTCAGGAGGGAGGAGACATGGGGAGGAGCAGAGAGGAGGAGACGCAGCACAAGAGCAAGTGCTGACCTCTGACCCCTGACGAACACAACACACACATAAAGACAGAACAGGAAGTCACTGATCAACTGCTGTGATTGGTCACAACAACCTCCTCCGTGTAAACAAATAAGAGTGTTTATCAACATTCAGACACAGTGATACTTTACATGCTAACATGCTAAGCTTTAAAAGTTTCTGATACCTTCTTAAGAATCTTAGGAACTGGCTCAAGGACAACTGGAAAGTCCTCAAACTATTTTCATACTCTAAACTAAATGAACACCAGCCACATAGAATCCTGGCTCTGTAAAATTTGTTTGTCAATCAAACGCACCCCTGTGGAGACAGCTTGTCTAGCCAGCCGCTGATGATGGGCGGGGCTCTCTCAGTCAGGGAGGTGTAGCTGGCGTAGGGGGAGATGATCAAGTCCTCGTCGGTCTCTGAAGGAAAGGTGTGGGGGGGCAGAGAGAGGCAGCGGACGGGGGGTGGAGGTTCTCCGACGGTGCTGTAACCCTGAGAGTCTCCGGAGTGAAGAGCCTGAGACAATCGCTTTGTCCAGGAGAACTTCTGACACCTGAACGTACAATTACAACTTTATTTATAAAATCTGGGATATATGACATCACTTCTCGCTTTTATTGTGAAATCTGTGGAAAGTGCAGATCTGTTATTTTTTGTAATAATTCCTTTAATTTGGTGTAGACATTTTAGTTCACTCAGAGTTCATTGTTGATAACAATCTTTATTTGTTCTGAAGCTTCGTGTCTTTCTCAGCTGCTGTTTCCGGGGTCAAAAACAGACTGAACCACAGTGTTAACGTAGTTCTGTCTGTATTCGACACAATAAGATAAAATATTACACACAGACTGCAGTGTATGAAGTCTAAAGAGGAGATCCACAAAATAAAAGTGGGTTGAGTACAGAACCTTTGGACACTCCAGAGGTCAGTCAATATGCAGATGATACAGTTTCATACATCTGTCTTATACACAGTAAATCAGGCTGCCTTTATTATTTACAGCCTTAGATAATTCAAACTAAGCATAAAAAATGTATTAGTTTTTAAATTTTCTAAGGAAGCCAGAAACACATTGTGGGTGCTGGGAGTTGGGACCACCACTGGGGTCACCAAAGCTTCATGGGGTGTCACAAAGCCTTCTTGATTTTCAGGGGGTGTAAGAAAACATTAAAAATATACACAGTAGACCTGTATTTGTATGTAATTTTGTTCATTCTGTGCCATTTCTGTACATAAAATTATTTTTAAAGTTTAGATTTTAGAAATAATGATTTAATATAAACTATGAAGATAGAATATGAAATACACTGAAAATATAGTCAGTTTACTCGATTATAGAAAATGGATCCCTTAAGGAAAAAGGTTGGGAACCACTAGTTTATACAGTGTTTTATATTTGGTCACAGCTAAATAATAAAGGTTACTGAGTTGCTGGTGTCGTACCCATGATCCTCTGAATGTTTCTCCTCCACCCTCCTCATCTCTCTTTCCTCCAGTCTGCTCCTTTCACTCTGCAGGATAAAATATCAAATGAGCACATTTTTATCATCACAGACTGGTTTAGAAATTAAACCACCTCTGGTAGATTTGTGACTATTTAGGAGCTGATCTCACTCCAGTGTCTTTGTGAGGAGGGAAAGAAGAAAGAAAGTTGGGATGCAGTTGTGCCTGTGTGCTGCTGTCTCACCTCAAAGGTAAGTGGATTTCTTCTGGTTTGGAAAACAGTTTCACAGTACGGGCTGATCTCCTCCTCAGGGTCGTCTGTTGAAGCTGTTGAACAGAAACCATTGAGTTTATTGGCTGCTGTGGCATCGATGGTAATGTAATTACAAAATCAACCACTGGGACCCTGATCTGCCTGTTAAACCAACCAAACACTCTGATCTTCCACTGACTGTAGCAGGGTCAGTTGTTCCTCTGTACTAGTGTTCTTGGTCTGGGACAGAGAGCTGCGCCGGTGTCATGATGTTGACCTTGGTTGATGTTTAGCTGTGTTACGAACTTGTCAAATCACAATTTTTTTATCATAAGTAATGTATTCATAACAAATGTACAGCTTTGGACCACAAAAGGTGCCAGTGTCCTAATCCATAAAAACCCTAACCCTAATTCTTTTGGTGCTGACTCTCCATTTTTTATAACTCTAAAAATGTTACGTGGGTGTTCAGGAGTGCATACCTAGACTAACCAGGAGGTGGCGTTATGCAAGAGAAGTAAGGGAACTGCTAAATAAAAATCGGTGCCAGTACCAGCACCAGTGAATACCGGCCCATTTCAGGTACTGCAGACATGTTATATTTTATGTCAAGTAGTCAGAGTCAAGTCTGTACTCACCTCTGGCTGATCCTGAAGAGTTGTTACTTAAAGTGCTGCCACTGAAAACACACATACAGAGACAAACAACAAATAAATCAGTTGCTTAGTTTGCATCCAAATGTGTCGCAATGGGAATTGGAAAAAGGAAATGTGAACGAATGCTTGTTTCCATCCACAACTGTTATGTGATTATTAGGAGTTGGTTCATGAGATAAGCAAGAGGTGGCGCTGATTCTCCAGAAGAGGAGGGCATCCTGGTCCAGCAGAGTGACCTACCTATTCCTCTCGGGGTTCCTGTCCAGTGTTTGTCTGGCTGGAGTCGGAGGAGCGGACTGCTGGCTGCAGTAACTCCTCCCTCCAATGGGGGCAGTAGAACCGGGTGAAGTTCCCCAGTAGATTTCATTGGAGACCATCTCCATCCCACCACCTCTGGGTGAACCAGACAGTGGGGATCCAGAGAGCCTGCTGTTGTCAAGACTACCGGGACTGGAAGTTAAAGGAGATGTCTGGTTCTGTTCTGTCCGCACAGGTGAAGAGGAGGAAGAAGAGGGTGGGGACCCCTGGAACATGGCAGGGGGGACCCCACGTTTCAGCCTCGGGGGAACAGGAGGTAACGTCCCTCCAGCATCTGACATAGACAAGCTACGACTCGGCCTCCTCCTCTCCGCCTGGCTCGACCTTCGGCTGGGAGACTTGTCGGTGAGGTCAGAGGTCAACCTGTCATCAGGTGTGGGCATGTCCCCTGAGGTCAAACCCTCTAACACAGTAAAACAGATGGACTCCTGGGAAAGCCTCCGGGGTAAAGGCGGTGCAGGGTCCAGTGTTGGACAGAAGTGGATGGGTGCTGTCCGGCGCCGATTGAAGACGGTCCTAGGTTTAGGAACTGGCTTCACCACCGGCCTGCTGTTGTCAGAGTTGGTCAGCATGGCAGCAAGGTTCGGAGCCGAGCTGTTCCTGAACACCTCGAAGTTAGGAGGTCCTGTCACCTGTTGGAGCGATGCGGCGCTGTGGCCTCGCTCTGATGAAGAAAAGTTTGTCACAGATTGACAGCGGTCACGTGGGAGATCAGCTTTCTGATTGGCTCTTAGAGCCTCCGTCCTCTGAATGTGACTGACCAATCGTAGGATTCTCTTCCTGTGTCCTGTAGCTGTTATACCCAGGCTCACCAAGGCGTCATGATCCAGGTGTGTGAAGTCTCTAGCCAATAGGAGACCGCCTCGACGGAAGGTGTCCAGGTACCTGTAGGGAAACAATTTCATTAGACTGAAACAGTTCAGGAGGTTGGAAGAGGTTGTTGATGATTGTTTTTGCTGTGATGATGTTACATGGGTGTAAACTAACTACGTAGTGCTAAGTGTTAGCACTTTGGTGGTTATTGTCGACTCAAGCCAGGCTGTTCTAATGTTTAGTCCTGAATTAAAAAATCTCCATCATGTAGAGTTTAAGTTGTATGAAGACACTCTGTTGTGTCCCAGCCTCTGACCTCTCCAGATGGATCGTTGCCAGAAATGTATCAACCGGTGTGCTTCCATCCAGTGAGGCCATGACGACCAACATGGAGTCTGGATCTGACTTGGTCTCCTCCACATTCAGGAAACACCACGGCCATCACTGACCTACAGCAGGGACAGACAACGGCCGTCCATCTGGAGGACAGAAGAACCAAAAACAAGAGTTAGAACAAAAACACAGAAGTCTGAATCCAACCAACTCAACAGAGTTTCTCAGCAGTATCTGTCCGTCTGCGTTCACACTGTTTGACTCAGCACAGCAGGAAAACCACAGGTGGAAATCTGATAACGTCCATGAGGGTTCACTTCACATCATAAGTGCAAGGGAACCAAGGACAGTGGTCCATCATGCACAATACCAGGACCCTGGGTACCAGTACCCCTGAGCAGACTGGACTTCACCTCATGCCCTTATGTGTTTGTTGAGCATCTGAAAATAATTAATATTTTTGGTAGATACAATCATTGACTCAGCACTAAATCCAGCGACCGCAGCAAAGTCACAACCGCCAACTCCCACAAGATTTGAGTATGGTCCCGCAGGACCCGTGGGATCCTTCTCTTTGGACACCCCCTGGATGGCTCATGGGTATTGTAGTTTTTAGAGAGAGTTTAATTATAGTCCTGTGTTTCTATGATGAAAAATAAAACAAATAGCAGCTCCTGCAGGTAACCACAGCAACAGTGCCGATGCTTCAGGCCATGTTAGCTAACCCCTCAGGAAGCTCCTCACTGTAAATGGATGAAAACGTACAAATACAAAATGAACTTTAGGTTTATCTGCAGCAGTTGAGCTGCCTGTTTTTACTGCACTAACATAGAATCACTGTGACCTCTGACCCCCCCCCCCCCCGAAGGGGTCACGACCCCCCTCCCAGCCAACTAAAACCACAGAGGCAGAACAAAACATGACGTCAGCAGGCGGGCACAGCCGCGGGATTGTTTCTCAGACTCTGCAGCAGGCTGACCTTTGACCTCTGTACAGACAGGACACTGCAGAGATCAGATGACCCAGAAACAGAGAGGCTCGGTTTAGAAACACCGCCGGCTATTTAATGGAGGAGGAGTCACCACAACCATTAACACACTGTGTCGAGTGTTTCTGAGACAAGTGTCAAGTCAGGATTATTTTTAGAAAACTTCGAACAAACAGGAGACAAAGAGTAAAATGTTTCTGATCAAGTTCAGTTTCAATAAAGTTCTGATGTGACACTGAACTTTATTCCATTTTTCTAGCAATATATTCTTTGGATTTTAAATAATAACAACACAAACATAAGCAGCTATGTTTGTTACATAAACAAACAACAAACAGCAGATAACAGGAAACAGTCTATGTTGCAGATAACAGTGGGATCATTCAGAAACAGCTGCCAGACGTTGTAGAATTGATCTGCTTTGGTTTGCTTTACTTTCACTTTAATATAACTTTACACCAACCAACACAAGGGTGCTTATCACTGCCCACTGTAATCATATATAACAAACTTATATTACATCTTTTAAATTAAAGGTTATGGTGACTAAAGAAAGTGACACACTGTCTGTGGGGGCCTGGGCGAAATCATTGGCTATTTCACTGTTCAATAATTATAGATTATTGATTTAATCATTTCAGTTTGTTGAAGGAATAACAGACACTGAGCAATCATTTCAGGCCGATTCGATATTTAATTTTAAAGCTGTACCGTCCCATGGATGATAGATGATGCTGATAATATCTTGCATCCCTAACTAATATCTTTTTTAAAAAGCTCACTGTTTCACGGCCTTATCTTTGATAGATGTTTCATCTTTTGAAAAGAATATGAATAGTAAATAAAAATAATATAGTAATAGTTTATTTTTACCATAACTCTAGTAGAGGAGGGACTGAACGCTGCCTGACAGGCAAAACCCAGGATCTGCAAATCCCTCTGGCTGCTCATTTAGGTACATTTAGGTCACTGAGAGTATTAACATATTAATCAGAGGACAGTTTACAGAGCAAGGACACCCCCCCTGCCTCCCGCCTCCTCCCCCATGTCCTCGTTCTCAGGAAACACATGAACACATTCGCTGCTGGTCTTTTTTTCCACATCTTTCAAACAGCAGTTTCTCACACACACACACACACACACACACACACACACACACACACAGGATACAGGGAGTGCCTGCAGCTGAGGCGAGGCATGTTGCATGAAGCTGAAGGGTGGAGGACTTTCAAAGAAAAAACTGTGTGTGTGTGTGTGTGTGTGTGTGTGTGTGTGACCTTGTGCAGCAGTGATTGTGTATCTCTAGATTTCCTGAAAAGGTTGGAATGTGTTACACAGCTCACACTGATGTGTGTTTGTGTGTGTGTGTACGTGGGAGAAATGAAATATTCGAGCTGTAACGAGCTGTTTGAATTCAAACTCTACGGTCTATAATCACAATAGAGTAATTCAAGTTGTTTACCTTGTGCTCCCACAGAGAGCGCTCTTAATGTTCAGCTAATCAATAACTGAGCTAATAAATCAATAATCACACATACAAAAATAATCAGGACACTAAAGCCTCTTAGATGTGTGAGTGCGGTTCTAAATGACCAACCCAGATTAGCTGTATTTATTATTTAAGTACAACACAGACAGAAACCAGTGGCTCAACATCAACTGTACGAACAGAAACCAGTGGATCAACATCGACTGTACGAACAGAAACCAGTGGATCAACATCGACTGTACGACCAGAAACCAGTGGATCAAACTGTACGACAGAAACCAGTGGATCAACTTGCTGTCGTTGTTGTTGAGTCAGCTGTGAACAGAGGCTAGAAGAAAAGAGTGAGTGATACAAAGAAAGAGGAGAATAAAAAACACTAAAAACACCAAACTGACACTGAATATAACTGCATGATAAAAATAACTGCAGGACACACACACACAAAGGTCAGCAGCGTCCAGCTGAAGACAAAGGAGGAGGAAGTGAGTCACAGCAGCTTCCTCCTGTCGACCTTTTTCCTCCTCCGAACTTCAGCTGCTTCACATGAAACCAGCTTCTGTTCTGGGATCAGATCGTGTGGATCAGCAGAAACACTCCTCTTCCTCAGACACTCCTCTTCCTCAGAGACATGCTCTCTCTACAAACTGAAACCAGACAAATCCTCTAAAGTTCAGAAAATGAATTTAAACATTTGACTCATCAGAAGACTCCCAGGTTCACTGGTACAGTAACAGCTTTAGTGACACCACAAACTACTGCAACACAACATGGGACAGACCCCAGTCCTTTTGCTCAGCAAAGATTCAAATACTATCAAACTGTTCATTTAATAAAAATAAAAATGTAATGATGTGACATTTCTGGGGGTCTGTACAAACAACATGTTTTCTTTCATCAACCAGTAACCATCAGGTTCACTCTCTCACCTTTATAACAAAACAAAACAAAACCAAAAATGTGTTCAGAATGAAATTAGTTTGAGTTCAACCGGTTCATAACTTTTCCTGCAAAGCTCTAAAACTGATTCTGGTGTGAACTGGACTCGACAGTGAAGAGCCTCCACTTGTTTCTTTTCATTTATCCAATATTTGTAAAGAAGAAAACCTGCAGTCTGACACAATGTGAGAGGAAGTCAGGCAGCTGCAAGATGGAGACTGAAAGAGTTTTAGTCGCTGTTGTTAGTCAAAGGACGATGATGTGTTAATGAATCACAATCAAACATATAAAAACTGTATCAACTGCATAAACTATATAAACTGTATATAAACTGTATATAAACTATATAAACTGTATAAACTGTATATAAACTGTATATAAACTATATAAACTGTATAAACTGTATATAAACTGTATATAAACTGTATATAAACTGTATATAAACTATATAAACTGTATATAAACTGTATAAACTGTATAAACTGTATATAAACTATATAAACTGTATATAAACTGTATAAACTGTATAAACTGTATATAAACTGTATAAACTGTATATAAACTGTATAAACTGTATATAAACTATATAAACTGTATATAAACTGTATATAAACTGTATATAAACTATAAATAAACTGTATATGAACTATATAAACTGAATATAAACTGTTTATAAACTGTATAAAATGTGGGACTTTGGGCCCAATATGATTTCCTCACTGAAGGCAACTGTAAAAGAGAGAAAAAGGTGGCGGGAGAAAAGCGAGGAGTGAACCGTGAGAGGAAGAGCGCTGAGAGCAGCTTGAAGCAGGAAGCTGCTGCAGAAACAGAGCAGAGGATGCAGACGCTTCCAGCTCACTTCCACCTCTCAAACACCGCAGACGGAGCTGGAGCTGTCCCCACATCTCCTCAGTTACCACGGTTACACTCACACCTTCCTCTAGTGCCAATGAACAAAATGACAAAGAGAAAACTAAATGTGGAAACTCATAACAAATAACTGAATCAATGCGAGGAATCTGTCTGTGGAACCGACAGTACACGAGTTAAAGTGGAACCCAACACATTAAAAACCTGAGCAGAGAATCAAACGGAGAGAGAAACTGACCTCCGCCCACAATGTACAGCTGCTGGTAGTCAGCGCTAAAAGGGCTAAAATCCACCAGAACTAAATTCATGGTCCTCAACAATTTAACAAACTTGAAAAATGGAAAATACAGGTGAACCCCAGGGAAACAGCTTAATTTCTTCCTGTGGCAGGGGCCGACGTAGAGGCGTATTCTGACCTGTCATCCTCTGTGCCTTCGGTACCGCCACAGCAACAAGGTTTATTACATAAACACTGGGCTCTACAGTGAGTCTCCTCTTTAGGGGAAGTGAGAATATCCACTGATTGAGTTTAATGTGCTGCTATAGAAGAATAATTCATGTTCTTACATCTGACACTTTTCAGCTCTCTGCTCGTCTTTCTAATGATCCACGAGGGCGACAGAAGATAACTGACCTGGAGTTTCTACAACTGGTTCTGCTCAGTGTCTGACCCGGACAACAGGTCGGACCTCTGACCTCTGCAGCCCGTTCACCCTCCACCTCCAACATCCATTCAGAGAGACCAGGACAATAAAGACACAACAGGACCAGGTGTGTCCTCTTCTGGACTCTACAGACCTCCGCCTCTTATCTGTGTTTCTGCTGTTGTTACCAGCAGCAGAAACACAGGAAAGACACACACA